GTATCGTGTGTTTTATTAGACTGGGTGTCCCATCACTAATCAGGGGCATCTTGGTCCTTTCATGTAAATTATGTATTGCTCTTATATTAGTGAACAGGGCCGGCTGATGAACAGTGCCCATTCGAACACATCAGACTCTCCTCTCTTCTTCTTTTCAGCTCTCTCAACAGGTTCAGTTTGGCAAACAACACCCTCAGGAAGCATTAACCAATACACTCGTAGAGCAAGAAACCCTTTGCCTACCGAACCCCCTTTCCTCAATCTCCTAGGTTGGTTCAGGTCAATTCCTCTTCAAACAGCAGATTCACACTTCCACAACTGGATCATTACCCTAACGCGATTGAAGAATCACCTAGGAGAATTCCAGGCCAGTTGGCAAACTCACATCACCTCCACTTTGCTTGGAATAAGAAAATACAACTGCCTCACAGGTCTGTTCACACAGACAAATTAACTGTGATGATTCCTCGCCACGATAGAACCATTAGACCTTCAAGGGATACCCCTACAACATCCAAATTTCAGAACTGGAAGGTTTAGACTTTAGACCTTCTGTTACATAGTAGGGTCAGCAATTTACCATAACAGGCCCACCTACAACACCCAACAAATAATCACATCTGGTGAATAAATCCCTCGGTATTACAATTTACAGTCAAGGGAGAAGAAAAGAAAAAGAAGAGTGGAGCCCTTGATCAGATCAGTATAGTATCCTTTTGCAGTTCCACAAACAGAGGGGAGTCAAGAGAAAGAGAGGAAAAATTAAAAAAGGAAACTGAAACCTGGCCTGATCAGATCTCCTGCTCTGATACCATGAAGAAGACAGGTGGAAAACAGAGAACTGAGCCAAAAAGATCATGTGGGTGGCAGCCCCTCACATTATTATATTAGGGTGATCATAAAAGTGGGTAAAAGAACATATTTATCCCTGATTACAAAAGAAGAAAATAAGCAGTACAGATAAATGGCATAAACAACAATAACCATATTTGGTTTATACTATTCGGAATTTAATATTGCTCTTAAAATTTAAAAATGTTGAATCTGCATGATGGTTGCCCCTTGATTATTTGTCATACAGTTTGCGATTCGATTTTGGTTTTATATTCTTTAAGATGAAAATTTATCAAATGAAGAAAAATTCATTAATGTCAACTCATTGTCTTGTTCTTCACCTCCTTTGTGAAGGTATATTTGTTGCATTGGCATTACGTTTTGATGTGTCTAGAGGGAAAGAGAATCGGTATTTCAGAAGTGCATTTTTTGGATATACAGTTGGTTTGGTTCTGACAATTATTGTGATGAATTGGTTTCAAGCTGCACAGGTAATTTGTCTAGAGTCTTTTTTTCTGTTAAATGTTTAAATTAATTTCTTTTGAATAGTAACCTAAACTTTATTGATTTGATTGAAGAATGATCATGTTACATTGCAGTGCCTAAGCATCCTATATTTGGCCTAGCTCCTATTCTCCTCCCCTCTGCTTTTACAAGTTCTCATTTTGGAGAATCAAACCCCAAAAATCTTGAGATCTTCTTACTCCCAATTTCACTAATAAGTCATCTGCAGCCATCTTCCAAACTGGTGGCAGATCTAGGACTCCATTGGAAATTTGCATTCAGTTCTTCCAGGTGTTTGGTTTCTTTCATAAGATGTCTGTAAGTCCAAGAACCCATACATTTTCCTTTTAAGCACCTCAAACAACTGAGTCAAGTCTTTAGCCACTAGTAGTCCTTGCAAGACCGCCAATAATTCTGCCCTTGCTTAAATTATTATTTGATTGATTATGTTTAAACTATTTTAGATTATTTAGAGAAGAATGTTAAAATTCTTCAAGAGAAATGTGCCTCTAATTTGGATGAATTCCATAATCATGATTGGTCCACATCTCCATGAAAAAAAAAGCATGGTCTAGTATAAGCATGAATGTTCTTTCACTTTAGTCTTGAGCATTCTTTTACATCCCATAAGGAAAGAAGGCGATTGGGATGGACATTCATTATGTGTTTTCATTATCTTATTATTTTTTTTTTCCTTTTGCAATTTCAGCCTGCACTTCTATATATTGTACCAGCTGTAATTGGATCTGTGGCTGTTCATTGCATTTGGAATGGGGAAGTCAAACTGGTTTGTTCTATACACCTATATGGCTTCATCCGTTGCCTTTTGACCTTACTGATAGTCAACCTTTTTGGCTTTTTATTTTAACTCGAATCTCTACTGCATATCCTATCTACACAATAACATATGCTGATGATTATTACTTAATAGAAGCTCTAACTTACCAACTTGGGATTCCCAGGAATGCAATGTTAATAATGGTAGACTATTCTTTAAACTATTGCAAGTATGCTAGAGAAATTTTTTATCTTGTTTTTTCTTTTCCATTTGTCATTGCAAAAGATTAGAGAAGATCATGAGGGATTTTTTGTGGGAACTGGGGGAGGAGAAAAGGGGTCATCTAATTAGATGGGATATTGTGTTTAGAAGGAAGAAGAATGGTGACTTGGGTTTGGGAAGGATAAAAGATAAAAATGTGGCTTTGTCAGGAAAATCGGTGTGGAGATTCCCGTGGGAAATAAATAAACTTTGGTCCAAAGTGGTGCTTAGCATTCATGGGCTCTCTGAGAATGGTTGGGACACTGTGGTTTCTAGCAGRGCTTCTAGAGCTTCACCATGGAAAGCAATCCATAAGGTCATTCCGCTCTTCCTCAATCACATCAGGTATGACCTCAATGCAGGGAATAAAGTAAGGTTTTGGGAATATCTCTTGGTGGGTGAAAATCCCTTGAAGTTCTCTTTTCCCTTGTTGTTTGCTTTATCTTTTTTCAAAGATAACCAGTCTGTCTTTGATTTCTTACGTCCTCCCTCGCTTTTGGGATTCAGGTGGAATCTGGGATTTTGGATAAATGTCAGAGACATAGATTTGATTCATGTTTCCAATCTCCTTCACTTGTTTGATGGGGTGCACCCTGACTCTAGTAGAGGAGACACTCAGGTTTGGACTGGTCATTCTTCAGGGGTTTTCAGTCTCTTCCTTTTTTGATGCTTTGTCTGTCCCACATTCCCCTTCAGTTTCTTTCCTAGTTAAAGAAGTTTGGAGCTGTCCAATTCCCCCCAAAGTTGGTGCTTTTTGTTGGGAAGTATTCCATGGTGCAATTAACGCATGCAACATGCTGCAAAGACCTGGCTGGTGCCTCTCTCCAAACAGGTGTATCTTGCACAATTCAAATGGTGAAACTGCTTATCATCTTTTCATTTTTTGTTCCTTTGCAGGTTATATTTGGGATAGGATATTTGTGTTTTTTGGTTGCAGGTGGACTAGTCTGAGTAGTTTGGACAGACTCTTCAAGTCATCTACCTTTAGGTGGCCAAGAAAAAAGGGGAGGATGCTTTGGAGATGTACAAGGGCTGCAGTATTATGGATGATTTGGGAGGAAAGAAACCTAAGAATTTTCTAAGAAAAGAAAGAAGTGTAGAAGTTGTGTTTGAAGGCATTGTGGTGAATTTCTCAAAAAGTAAAAACAGTGAATTTGTTCTATGATTTTATTGTTGATGATTACTCAGAAAGTTGGGGGGGGGGTGATTGCAGGTTCCTCTTCTTCCAAGAAAAAACTTATGAAGCAGTGGGAGTAATAAGAAATGCTAGGGGAGAAATTTTGGGGATGCTCTCAGGGCCAATTGGGGAAGGGAATTCCACTAGAGTTGAGTTGGAGGCAGTGTTATACAGCCTACAAAAAGCTGTGGAGTTAGGCATTAAAAAATTGATAATTGAAGGGGATTCTAAACTGATCCTGAGTTGGTTGAGAAAAGAGGAAAAAGAGTSCCTGGTGGTTCAGAAATGAGATCAAAAAGTTCAGAAGACTGTCAAAAGACATGCAAATATTAGTTCAGTGGATTCTAAGGTTGGCCAACAATCTAGCAGATCAATTAGAAAAACAAGGGTTGGAAGAGAACAGATTTTTTGGGCACGGTTGTAATTTTCTTAGCAAAATCCTGGGGTTTTATTTATTTATTGTTGTTACAAGGGTAGCCGAGACTGCTCGCTAATGTAAATTCATTTTTTTATCTCGATAAAAGTTTCTTCTGTTTTACTGATAAAAAAAGGCTTCATCAAAAGTTTTTTGTTGAACTGATCCGTTCTATCTATCCTTTCATTAGGCCCTGGATGAATTTTTATTCTGGGTAGTGGGTTAGCTGTTAGTGGTTAAGATGTTAAGATAGAGTGGTGATTGACATATTTCAGCTTTAATCAAATAGGCCTTTCATATGGATCGGAGCTGGGCAAGAAGTTGATTATATGGTTGATCCAATCCTACCCCAACTATTTGGTGGTGGGTACTCAATTCCTGTTTTGCCATACTTCTCTATTAAGATTCATAACCTTTGGTAGTTTTGCATCCATAGATCTTTTCTCAGTATTCTCTTTTGGTAATCAATATTTTCTCCTTGCTTCTTTCAAAATCCTTAACTCAAATCAGATATGTCCTATTGGTGCAGTAAATGTTCTTTTATGCACATGATCAAAACCATCTTAGTTTCTCACTAGATACAGGGAATCAAAAGCAAAATGAACTGGTATGGTCATATACAGAGAACCGAAAGGAAAGAAAAAGCCTTATATGGTACTTAATCTGAATTTTTGAGATGTAGCCATGAGCATGTTTCTTCCCTTAACTGTCTTGTGAAGTGGTATGGTTTTCAAAGATCCAAGTGTTTCTTCCCTTAACTGTCCAAAGAATCACTTAAAGGTGGATACCCATCCAAAGAATTACAAGATGGAAATATAGGCAAATCAAGGTTTCAAGTATCGGAAACGCAAAGTGTATCAGAAAGGCAATTTTAAGAAACGTATTGGGATATGCTTTGGATACGCATAGATACGGAAAAAAAAAACTAAGATACGCTAAGAAACTCAAGTAAATCCTAAAAAATATAGTAATAACAAGAAAGTACAAGGTATATATGACAATAAATAAGTTATTTAAACATTAAAAACTTACTTTAATGGTTCACATGAAGTATGAAAGATCGGGACATAATCGGTAATTGTTGAAAAATGATGGAAAAACTAAAATGTGTGCATATATACCTTGATTTTTAGAAAATCAAAATAAATTGTCTTAATATTTGTTAATATTATAAATTTTAATAATTAATTTTAGCATTTATTAAAAAACATCTAGGGGTGATCATCTCGGCCCAACCCAACTTGGAAATTCCAGGTTTGGAGTTGGGTTTCATGTTCAGGCTTGGCCCATATTACATTTTATATTATATAAATATATAATGCATCAAAAAAATTATATGCATATTATACGTTATTATACATAATAGACGTAGGCGTGACCTGACCTATAATCACCCGAAAAAAACACCCACTAAAAAGAAAAAGTTTATTTAAGGATGAAAATGGATAACAGTTGAACACCAAAATGGATTGGAGTGTGGTGGTAAACTCATGGGCATTGTAAAAGTGTGACCAAGGTTCGAATCTTCTTATGGCCTACTTTAGCTTTTACACCTGTGATTCTGTGCATTAGGTGTTAGAATGGCATGGGAATTTCAAAATTCAAATTCAAAGTTGTCTTAAAGTTAAAGAGAGAGGGAATAATTAATGTAATCATAGTAATTAATGAGAGAGGGAAAGAAATTAATTAGAAGGATTAGCAATAAAAGGAAGATTAGTGAGAGGGTAATTAATGAGAGGGAGAGTAATTAATTTGCAGTGTATTGACCGATACATTAGATTATCGGCTCATATCGGGTCTATATCGGCTGATACAGACCTGAAACAGCCCGATGTGGTCTCGTATCGGCCCAATACAGCTGAAAAGGAACGAGACAATTGGTTTCTTTATGTTCCATGTATCGGACATTTAACGGAACGATATATATTGGCCGATACAGGCTGATACATTGTGAAATTTTGAACCTTGAGCAAAATGTTCTACCTAGTACACCAGACAACTTAAGTAATGGGTCTGTGAAAGTTACAATGTTAAAAAAGAGGTTGGCTGATTCTTGGATACACTTGCATAGGCTGCAGGAAATATATGTAATGTATCTATGCAGGAAATATATGCATACACTTCACTCTGCTCCCCCTATGAATGTTCTAGCAGGTAGACTCCATTCATCTCACGGCCAATCCCAATCACTTTCTTCGTTTCCAAATCCTGAAAAATACACCGATTAGGGAAAAAGGTTACCGAACAGTTTTGAGTTTTAGTAATACTACTAACTGAAAGTAAGTTAGCACTAAGCTTGGGAACATGCAAAACTGAGGATAGGGTGATGGTATCTGATAATCTGATGTCTCCCTTTGCCAGAAATTGGTACAAGAGAGCCATTAGCAATAGAAACTTTGTCTCTCCCAGAGGATAAACATTAGGTGCTAAATAGAGTAGATATGTTGGTCATATAATCTAAAGCACCTGAATCTATTACCCAAGTAGGTCTAGTATTACCTGGGACAGAAGCATGGAAAGAAGTATCTCTTGTGCTTGTATGAGCAAGGGCTGAAGTAGGTTGTTGAGTTGATGTAGGCTGAGCTGAATTACTAAATTCATTTTCTAGCTGAGTCAGAGCAGCTTGGACTATAGCTAGGGTATCTAGAGGAGTGCCTCTTCTGCCTGATGAAGTTGTACTTTCAGTGTTGATAGCCATATTAGCATTCCCTTTCTTATTTCTGAGCTTTGTTGGAAGTAAATGAGGGTGCAACCTCCAATAGGTGTCCTTAGTATGTTTAGGTTTCTTGTAGTGTTTACATTACTAAGTCCTTCTTAGCTTCCTTCTTCTCTTTATCTCCCCCAGATTTAGGTTTAACTGCTGCCAAGGCTGATTCAGAGGGCTGTTGCTGCAACATAACCTTTCTCCTAGTTTCTTCACTATGCACCAGGGAATAGGCTTGTGATAAAGTCACATTATCTCTTGTCAACAACTACTATCTCACAATGTCATATTCAGAATTCAGACCAACTAGGAACTCAAAAACTCTATTAGTTTCAACCTGCTTTCTATATGTGTGTGCATCTTTCTGACTCTCCCACTAAATTGTTTCAAGATGGTCAATTTCATGCCACAGGGATTTTAAGGTTGAAAAGTAAACAGAGACCTGCTTCTCTCCTTGCCTCAGATTTTTAACCTCACATTTTAGCTCGTAAGCCCTAGCAACATTAAGGGGCTGAGAGTAGGTTTCCTTCATAGCATCCCATATTTCCTTAGCTGTTTTGGCCCACAAGTAGTTTCGGCTGATGTGTGGCTGCATAGAGTTGCACAGCCATGTCATCACCAAAAATTTCTCTTGGACCCACCTAGCATAAGTAGGGTCCTCCTTGGAGGGTTCCTTCACATACCCTAGCAAGAAGTTCAAATTTCCTCTACCACCAATAGTCATCATGGCTGATTGGGCCCATTCCAARTAGTTTGATCCATCAAACTTAACAGTTGTAATCTGAAAGGTGTTTTCAGTCATGTTACCTGAGCCACCAGTCCCAAAAGCACCTTCCCCTTGGTTCTTGTACTCCATTCTAGGTTAAGAAGAGGCTTTAAACTACTGTGACAAGAAAAACTGTATTTCAAAGCTAATAATAGCCGACCTAGGACAATGATTTTGCAATTAGATAACAGCCAACTACTAGTTCTTAGGATTGATATCAGTCCTGGACTGATTGATATCAATCCTGAGATTTTCTATCCGTACCTCTCTGAATGAATAACAAAGTGCTTTTGAATATCAATCTCAAGTAAATGTACTTACTTTATGAAGAAAAATGCCCAGAAAACTGATTGCTACCTTCAATCTTCAAACTTGATCAATCGATTACTGTCAGCACCTTGAATCTAAGAAAAAGCTGATCGACACCTCCAATCTTGATCAAGAATCGATCTTGATCACTCAATTCCTGCCTGATTCTKCYTGATTACAAGAAGCTCTCTCCAATCTTAGGACAGCTGCTAAAGCCTTCTTGCAACCTCCAAGAATCAGCCGACGTAAGGATCTTTCTGAACTTTCAGCCCTAAACAATTCTCATGTGGTCGGCCGAATTAAATCCACATGAGAAACCCTAGATCTAAGGCTCTGATACCAACTTGAAAGAAGAAGAAGAAGAATAGTTTGCTGTATTAGAGAAGTAATACAGGTTCGAAGAGAAGAAAAGAGAGATAGAGATAGAGAGAGAGAGAGAGAGTGAAGAGAGAAGAAAAGAAAGAAAGGGTTCAGTGGTTAATGATTTGCCGCCCCATACACTACTTTATTTGTAGCTTTAGGTTCCTTACAAGAATAGGAAATAAACAAAAATTAGAAACAAAAAGGCCAGCCAGCCCAACTTAAAGAAATTAGAAACTTCTAATAAAAGAAATTAGAAACTACTAATTAAAGAAATTAGAAACAACTAGGTGTGGGTATGAAACCACACACACTAGAGCCTGAGTGTGGGTATGGAACCCCACACTCGTGGCTAACCAACTATTTCTTCACCAATAAAATGAGAATTAATGGATTGGGTGGGTTGGGTCACGAGTATCCATAAAGAGATTAGGAATTTTTGTTTTTATGATTTTCTTCTTTCCTAATCCATGGTTGAAGATCTCAGCGAGTGATTTTCCAACCCTACATTCCTCTCTCTCTCTCTCTCTACCTCTCTCTTCCCAAATCCAAACCCTAACCGATACTAACTCAGCAGTGGCAATCCCTCCATACGTGAACCAAAGCTGCTACAACGATGACATAGAGCTCATTCATTTATTTCTGTTATACTCTGTTTCACATTTTATAGCTTCGTTTAGTTGCAACAATATGGACGAGGGAGTGCAGACTTTGCTGCAGTTTATCAAAAGAAAAAGGGGGTCCCCAAATAGAGTGTGATGTGCTTCAAACATACGGAAGCTGCTACTTTTTAACCTGCAAATTAATGTTTGGATTAATTTTACAAGGTAGTCATGAATCTGGAGTTATTTCTTCAAGTTCACCGGCAAAATCAAAGGTGTCACAGCATTAGTTGGCACTAGTAAAAGAAGATAGTCATTTTCAATGGTGCCAATAAAATTCAGACGACCAGAGCCCATTGTTTCTCTATGCATATCTCATAGTCCCTTTCTAAATCTAACAGAAGTTCTATCTTTCTATAATTTTGTGTTATATTTTAATAATGTTTATACTTTCTTATAATTTTGTTAATTTTTTGTAATTTTTATATTTTCTGAAATTTGTATACATATTTTTGTAATTTCCTTTTTTCTTTGTTTTTCTGTAATTTTTGTTATATTTTCTTTTGCAACTTCTGTTATCTGTTGTGTTGACATGTTTTGCAGTAAATTTTGTTATTTTCCACATTTTTGTGTATTCTCTATAACCTTTGTTTTTTTTTTTTGCAATTTATGTTATTTTAGTGGGTTTCTATATTTTCTGTAATTTTTATAATTTTCTTCGTTTTTCATGTTTCTACAATTTATGTTTTCTGGTTTTTCTTTGTTTTTTGGTAATTTATATTGATTTTCTTCATTTTTGTAATTCTGGCTATATTTTTGCAATTTTAACTATCTTCCATATTTATATTCTCCTGATTTTTTTGCATGTTCTATGTTTTCTAATTTCTGTATTTTCTACAATTTATGCTTGTGTTGTTTAATAATTAAAAGATTCATGGATAGGGGTGTTCATTATACGGTTTGAACCACAAAACCAAATCAAACCAAACCGAATTTGCGGTTTGGTTCGGTTTGAGAATTTTCTAAATTGCAGTTAGCGGTTTCGGTTTGTTTTATTGAATTTTATAAACCAAACCAAACCGTAAACCATAAACCAAAATTTTAATATATATATATATATATGAATATATGGTATGTAAACATTATATATAATATATCTAAATGGAATGTGTAAAATTATAAATATATAATGAACTCTTTATTTTATAATAAAATAATAAATAAAAGTTTTATGTTTTAATTTTTAGGGGAGCTATTTGAGCTTTCTAATTGGGTTAAGCCCAAAAGAACCATAGAATGGTCCAACGTCCCCAAACCGTATTAGAAACCGCCCCAAACCATAATAAAACGGTTTGGTTTGGTTTCCATACCAAAACGGTTTGGTTCAGTTTAGAAAATTTTCAAACGGGTAATTTACTAGTTTGGTCTGAGATCTTCTCCAAACTGCACCGAACCAGACTGTGAACACCCCTATGCATGGGTTGGGTTAAGGTGGGTTTGGGTTCAACCCAACCCATTTAGTTTTACAAAAATGGGTCATTAATGGATTGGTGGGTTAGATGGGTTGGATTGAAGCTTGACCCAAACCCAACCCACCTAAACCTGCCCGATTCCCACCCCTAGGAATTTGGTATGCGATATTAGGATGTTGCCTGGGTATAGGTATATTGATTTTGTCAGCACAGCCTTAAAAATGGTAGATTCACAATTTTAGGATTGAACAATCATAGAATTGCTTGAGGGAAAAATTGCTTTGGTGTTAGGTGATTGACTTCTTGCTGAGCTTGAGGCATCTTTCCTCTGTTGTAATTGATTTGCCTCAACAATTTGAGTATTCCAACCATTTGAACTTAGTTATGGTTGATTAAAATTTGGAAATAGTAAGCTTCTTAAGGAACACTGACATTGTGTTGTTTTGATAATCATCAAGACGTACTGCTTACTGAGTTTTATGTTGATGTCTATTTCTAATCCTGTAGCTGTTGGAATTTGATGAATCCAAGACTGATGCTTCTTCAACTCAAGATGGTGAATTAAGTAGAGTTGATGCCAAATCTTACACAAAAGTTGAGTAGGGTAAAGAGCCGGAGGTTGGAGATTTTATGATTAAGAAGATGATGATTTACCTCGAGGAATCTGATGCCTTGGATCTCAGCCACAAGCAAACTTGTGAATGTAGACAAGTTTCCATTGTAACAGATTTTGGTTTAAATGAATAAAACAATATGTAGTTGTTAATTAATAGAACCCTTTAATTTGTTCTTTCTTCCCCCATTTGTTGGGGGGAAGGGTGGCGTTTTCGTCGTTTATTTCTAGTCCTTTTATTAATGGACGATGCAACTCGCAATAGAGGTCGCTCAAGTTTTATTGTAAGACACGTAAGGTTTATCGTGGTACCATTCTTACATGAGGGATACACAGATGCACTAGAATTCCAATAAGTTTCGTTTCGCAAGTCTTCTTAGGAAAATCTTCTCATAGTCTAGATGCCCAAAAATATATAATGGGCTTTCGGGGTCTTGACTTTAAAGATCACTGTTTGGATGGTCTACTTAGATGTTAAATGAAAGATTTTACGTGTTGAAAGACAGGAAGTTTCATTTGTTGTCATTTTGGGCTTTTACGAACTTTTTAGGGTATAGGTCTTTCTGGCTTTTTGTCTTTTATTGTCAAACAGAAAAAGTGGTTTTCCGAGCTTTGAAAACACAAAAGACTACATGAAAAGACTTGCCAAATGCCTCATCTTATGACTCAAAACACTGAATAAGATATATACATGATATACACTAAGAAATATGTATTAGTAATTTATGTGATAACGTGAAGAAGTGCAATCTGATCTGAACCAAAAACATTATTAATTCAAATGATCAAATAGCTATTTTGTTTCTTTTTTATTTTTTTGTTAATAATATTATTTTCTTCAAGGTTCAAAGTATCAATACGTATCGGCCCATACCAGCTGATGCGTATCGTGTCGATGGCTTCCTGATATGCCCCTCCAGGGGTTGTATTGGGTCAGACTATTTCAGAGGGTAGCTGGGCCTTGAACTGACTCCTCTGAACCAGTTTCAAAAAAAAAAAATAAAACCTAAAAAGAAAGTATCGATACAGGCTGATACACCTTATCGGCGTATCGGCCTGTGTCAATACTTTGAACCTTGATTTTTTTGTTAGTAATCTAATATACACTAAAAGATGAGTTCAACGATAGCACATTAATTAATATTGGTTGCAAGTTAAATTCATATTTCTGTTTATTCTTCATTGTTTCACTTTTGTGATTTCACATTTAATAATATATACTTATTACCACATTCAATGGGTTAACCTAGAATGTGCTCAATGGCAAGAAATGATGTTCACATGTTCACATCTCTTCCTTGGATGCTCTGATATTTTAGAGTTCGGATCTACTACCCACAACAATGCTACCCACACCCACACCTATCAAGACATACACACCAGAATTGTCTCTTGCACTTGTATGTTGTCATTCGTGAAGAGATATTCTCAATGTATGGCTGTAATGTCTTATGGGTATCAGATCAGAACTGGTTGTTTTTATCATGTAGAGGGTTTCATAGAAAGTTCAGTGTTGAAAGTGTCCAATCCACAGGTAGTAAGTAGGTGAAACCACCAGGATGTCTATCTCACTGCCCTGGTCCATGTGAGCTGGAGGCATTAGTTTTAGGTATTGTTGGACTCTTCTGCTTTTTTGAAGTTCAAATTTCCAACTTGGCCTCCATTTGGGAGTGCTTGTAGGATAAGGTGCTTATCCTAATAAGTTCTTATGAGTGTTTGGTGAACGATCACATCTTTCAAATAGGGGCAGTATAGGTATTTTGAAAACTAAGGGGCGGGACAAAATGTGACAGAAACACAATAAACTAGCACTTTTTGAAAAAGCGATTAAAAATAAGCCAAAAATTTTGGCTTCTTCAAATCAACTTATTTTTGGGAATAAGTACTTATTCAACTTTTTTCCCAAATGCACATAAGTGCTTCTAGGTGTGGCCCTGGCCTAAAATAAATACTTATTTGAATAAGTGTTTAAAAATAAGTACTCACAAACAGGGCTTCTTGTTCTTCAAAAGCATCTAAAAAGGAGGGCTCATCATGTGAAGAGGACTTTGTTTTCTCATGTTTTCTTATATTGCTTTGGAAATTTCCTTGTTAGATGCCATTAAAAAGCAAATGTGTTTACATGATTGCAATGGTGCCCCTCTATTCAACTCAATTCTTTGAACTAGAATTCCAAAATTAGGCCCATTCATTTACTCAAATTGAGCCAGTGGTGGAGTTGTGAAATGAGTGAAAATTAGCAGGATAATGGTCACAAAGTTTTAAAAACTAACTTGGAAATGAAACCACTTTGTCCACCGGTTTTGAAGTTAATGGTTCAACCGTCTGAGTTGAACATTTCAAACCATTGATCAGTTAATGTAGCATCTATCTTACATGTTATCTTTAGATTGAAATACTAGGGTGATTGTGACCAAAAGTGGTGACGGTGATAGTAATGGCAGCCCTCTCAGATCTCTCTCTCTCTCTTTCTCAAGTGGGGTTCATTTGGATCAAGATTCAAGAATATTTGATTTGTTTGGCTATTTTAATTATTAAAAAGCTTACATTTTTTGTTAAACCACAAACACTCATTTGGGTCGAATGGTTTACCCGTTCAACTGTCTGGATCAGTAGTTTGTTGACCGGATAAATGACCGGTTCCTGAGTCGAACGGTTTAATCGCTTGGGTCAGGTTCATGCCCAACTACTGAGCTAATGGGTCATCGACTGGTCAATTGTGGATTGATATTCATTGATGCAGACCTAATAAATGATGGATATGATAGAATTTTCTCAATTTTCCTACTGTGCTATCAATATGCCCAAATATCTATAATGAGTTGCCCTCCCTTCAATCACCATGTCTCTCCATGTATGGAAGATCTGGACCCACCAGTTGGGTGAAAAAAGCTTGAAGATGGTCCTCTTACAACATGTCAAGTGTAGCAATGCATCCTTTCCTTCTTATTTCATTATTTGCTCTACATATACCATCTAAGTTCTAATATGCCCCTACATACAAGAAATTAGAAAGAAAAGAAAATCACCTTCAATTTCTCAAATATAAACCAAAATTCTTGATGACCTAGTGCAAGTTATAAAGACCCATGAAGGGCATGAGCACAGACCCAATCCACAGATTCCCATCCTTCTCCTCGACCTCACTAATTAACCTCAAAGTCCTCCCTTGACTATCTTCTAACACCTCAACAACTCGCCCTTCCTCATCTAGCTTTATAGCAGTAGCATGAACTTTCCATCCAATTAGCACTAAATGCAGCTTCCTAAAACTCAGAGGGAGCTTCAGCAAAGCCTTCCCAACCCAACAATTTGACACAGCCCAACCTGAAAGCAGTCCCTTCTTAGAGTGCAAAGCAACCCAGAACTCCCCCTTGGAATTCCTCCGAATGTTGTCCGGGAAGCCCGGTAGCTCGGCGAAGACATCATGGGTTCCTGCTTTAGGCCCTTGAAGCCAAAACCTGAGGACTCTACAGTTGGTCGTCTCAGCAACTAGCACAAAGGAACGATCCTTGCTCAGTGCCACACCATTTGCAAAGGCAAGGCCTCTTAGCAACACCTTCACCTCATTTCTTGACCTATCATACTTCATCAACCTCCCTGTCTTGTCCCCACTTAAAATCACTGATATAAACTGCCTGAGGAATGGATTTATTAGGTTTATCATTAATCCAGAAACTCTATTATAGAAATGGGTATTATATTGGAGAAGAGAAACTGGCCTGAGGAATGGATCTACTATATATATATATATATATATATAGAATTTGTGCTTGTGAAATTACCTTCTCTGAAACTTTGTGCTTGTATCAGTGAAATAAATCACATCTTCATGCTCGTCAATGTCCAAATCATTGGTGAAGGTTAAGGGCTCACCTTCAGCCTCTGTGATCAACCGAGTGGCTAACCCTCCAGCTGGTCCTACTCTGTGAAACCCAAGATAGGAATCTGCTATATAGAGGTCTCCAGTGGTCGGATGGAACCGTATTCCTAATGGCCTCCCACATACATGCTCCATGTGGGGTGCCTGTGGCTGGACACAGTCTTTCCTGTTCCATGGAAACTATATATATATGAGAGAGAGAGAGTAGTACTTAATCAATTAAGAGAATAGGAATTAGTAGTTCTCTGACCTTTGGGGAGAGGTGACTGCAAATTCAGTCCATCCTTGGCCTTCTCCTTGCCATTTGAGAATCCGGCCATCAGCCACGCCAGTGTATGGACCCTCTCCATTGGGATCAAAGGCGAGACTCTCCGGCCCAACTGCTCCGACCAGTGGAATTACCTGGGCATCTGGGAGCTTATCAAGGGATCCAGGAATAAGGGGTGGTGTAAATAGATGGATTGGGTCGAGAGCGAAGAAGATGGAGAGGATTGCGAGAGTGGTTGCAGTCAGAATGAGCCTTGAATTCATGGCGTCCGTGAAAGGCCGCTTGAACAATGGAACCAAAAGCAAACAGATAAGAAAGTTGAAGATAGAGCCAATCTTGAAGAGTCTAAGATAATAAAATAATTGCTTGATTAGTGGGAAATAAAAATTACTGTTGATTTGAGTGTGTGCAGTCCAGCTGAAATTCCCATCAACTCATACATATAGTAAAAACTCTGCACAATCCAACTGTACATTGGGAATATCTCCCATTGTAGATGTGTGGCTGGACCTTCATGGTGCCATGTAAAGAAGACACTGGTTCCTGACCTTCATGGTGCCATGTAAAGAAGACATGGGTGGACCAATTCATGTAGATCAAGATCTAAGGTTATAGATATTAAAAGTAGGGATGTCAGTAGATTGAGTTACGTGGTAAGTTCACATTGACTCGATCTTATTGGTCTGGGTCGGGAAACCTTTAATTGGGTTAGGGATTCAGGCAAATTTGACCCGATCTTATTGGCTACTCAGTCACTCACGAAATCGTACGAGTTTTTTATAACCTCTATAGCCTTAATAATTGAATATAGATTTACTATTTATGGGTCGGGTCGAATTGGGTTCGGTTGATCATTTTGTTTACTCAGATTAGGGTTTGTGTTTGAATTGACTTCGTGCCAGGTTCCGTAATAAACCCGACTCTTTGACATTGGAGTGATTAAAGCAATGTCCTGAAAACTATTCGGAATTGGAACCACTTTGGCCACCGATTTTCAGACCTGCCGTTCAGCCATCCGATCTGAATGGCTGAACAGTCAGTTGTAATTTAAAACAATTTAAAACAGAAAAGGGCCAAAAATCATTGTTCGTGTCAAATTAGTCGATGAATTGACAGCTCAGGTTAGTGGGTTGTCAAATAAATCGACAATTTTTGGCAAAAGACTGGATTAGGGGTGAAAAAAAATGATTTTTCAGGCCAAATGGTCTAATTGTCCAGATCAACAACAGCTTAAAAACCATGGATTAAAGCATAAGACGTTGGAATTTACTAGTACTTTGCGTTGGTTGAAAATTTGAGATTATCTTCCTGAAAAGGATTAGGTAACAAATCAACAAACTAACAGTTGAAAGATTAGGTAAGTCTCTACTATATTTTCAGATCCACCATTCAATGGGTTTACTTAAGAAGTTCTCCATGGCAAGAAATGCTGCTCACATGATCGTATCTCTCTTCCTTGGATGCTCTGTTGTTCACAGATGAGTCCAGAGTTGAGAATGTCTATTCCATCAGTAGTAGTAGGTGAAACTGTGAAACCATCAGGATAACCACAAGTTTGGAATTGGAATCTACTCTTTACACAGGGCGCCTCACAACAATCTCACAGGTACATCTAACGGCGCATTGAAAATATTTCCCCTAAATAATAATACATAAGTATTGTACGGTGGGATGTGCCCGTGAGATCGGTGTGAGGAGAAGTTTGAGGGCTCGTCTTGGTCCATATGAGCTGTAGGCTCTGACCATTACTTTTGGGCATTGGTGGACGCTTTTCCCATTGTTTGAAGATGCTAGTTCCAAGTTCCAACATCGTGACTCGTGAGGGCTAATGTGAAGAGGACTTCCTTCCTTTTCTCTTGTTTTTTCTAACTTTCACTTATCCCAACTTTTCGATACTTGAAAAGAAACCGCTGTCACATTTGCCACTAAAAAGTTAATGGTATTTTGCAATATATAATGAAAGTTCAGCTTTGATGTATTTAAAAAAATTAATGGTATCAAATACTAATAAAATAATAATAATAAAGTATAATAAAATAATAATTATATTTTCATAAAGTATTAATACAATAATAAATAGATTAATGCAAAATTGAAAATTTTTTTTATTTGATTAATTTTGACTCCAATTTTAAATGAATCAAACAATAATAATGGGAATCTGATTCTAATTTTTAATAGAATCAAGTTATAGGCGTTAGGAATAGATGATTCTGATTCCGGTTCTGATTCTTAATGATTCTAATTTCGATTTTGATCATATCTGTGAATCAAATAGACCCTAAAAAATTAGATGTGAGTTYTAAACTCAATTCGCCCTACCCTTGGGGAGGGTTTTGCATTTTTATGATCGGAGAAGGTTTGGATTCTCGAAACCCAACCTGCTATGGGTTTTGGGGTGAATACTGATTGGGAGGTTTAGGAAGATAAATTGGGTTTAGAATTTTCAAAACCCGCCCCATTACCATCCCTAAATTCAGATATAAGACAGTCTTACATTGGTTTATATTTCACAAAGTCTACATTGACATTTGACATTTAAGAAGACGTGAATCAAAGATATCATTAGATGGCTTTTTGCTGCACGGTGCAATGGATGCGCATTCTCCCTCTGTTCAACTCAATTCTTTGAATGAGAGAATTCAAAAATATCTTGGATCTCTTGTAAGCAAACTCTGCGTACAAGGCATCAAACCACAAATCAGAACTCACACATGTCTATTAAATTCATAGGGAAATGTTCCCACTATGTGATTTTATGTCTGAGATCTTGTTACCAAAAATAGGCCCATCCCTTCGGCTTGGGCTTGTGTCCAAAACAGCATACTTGACTTTATTTTGGCTTGAGCTCAGGCATTCTCAAAAATGCTTAACCTGAGCCCAAGCCCAACCTGATAATATACTATATAACAAAAAATATATTTTATATTAGAAGAAATGTATAATATGTTCTTTTCTTTGTCCATCTTCTCTTTTCTTAAGCCATTATGAGATCTTTCATTGTATTTTGGTTTTGAGTTCTTTTAATATAAATAAATCAGTTTTGTTATTGAGTAAGAAAAGAAAAAAAAATTCTTTTTCCTAATTTCCTATCTGGGCTTTAGTCTTTATGTGACAGTTGGATTTGAGCTCGAGCTCAAGATCCAGGCCCGATGGTCAGGCTGGGCCTAAGCTCATGCCTAAATGTGTTATGTTAAAATAGAGAAAAAAGCTCGACCTGAACCCGGTCCAGCTTGACCCCAAAACAGGTGTAATTCAAATTGAATTGTTGGTAGATTTTCTTTTAAGGCAAAAGCGATAAACAGTAAAAACCAAACATCAAAGTTAAACCGTTGGTGGGTTATGAGATGAATGATTTTCTTTTTAACATGTGAAAATTAGTTAATAGAGTAGACGGGTTGGTCAAGTGTAGTTTTGTCATCTATATCTATGTGTTAAATTTAGACTTGCCATGCCAACATGCATCTCCTTTCTCTCCTACTATTTATATATTTTGTGTTTTTTTTTGAATTTTTATTTTTAAAATTGAACAAAATAATTCAAGTAGCCATTCAACTTTAAGTCTTTAAGACTTTTATCTCTTTTTAGGGGTGAGCATTATTCAGTTAAAACYGAAATACCGAACCGAAAATTTTGTCTTCGGTTTTTTGGTTTTTATGTAATTTGGTTCAGTTAGTTCGGTTTTTAGGAATTTCAGTTTTCAGAATTAAAAATGTGGTTAACCGAAAAAGTTGAATTAATTGATATATATATATATATATATATTAAATTTGATTTTTAACCAAAATAACCGAAAACTGAACTGAAAATTTCGGTTTTGGTTCAATTTTTCATCTTCTTATTTTGGTTTTAAACCGAATAAACCAAAGGCTTGCCCACCCCTATGACTATTCTCATTAATTCACCATTAACTCCCTTCCTTTTCTTATTAGTTCCTTTAATTATCTCTTCTCATTAATCATTCCATTAACTCTCTTTCCTCCAATAACTTATTCCACTAATTATTTCTTATCTCAAATATTCCATTAAATTGCTTAAAATTCATTTACTCTTTTTTCCTTTATCTTTTTCTTTTTCCTTTTTCTTTTTATTTTATCCTCTCTCCTCTCCTTATTAATCTAAGTGATGTTTAGAACCAATGTGGTTTACTAAGAGGTGTTTTTTGAGAAAACGACATTGCATTGGAATTCCGTTTTTTTATAAATGCTTTTTTTTTTCTATTTTCTATCATTGTTGTTGTTGCTAGATAGGCATTTTTTAATGCCATGTCAGTGTATAGTTGCTAGCAATAGTAAAAATGAGAAAACACCCAAAGGGGTGCTTTCTCATACCACACATTTCCGGATTTCCAATGCATGGTATGAGAAAATGCTTTAAAAAAATGCATAAACAAACATCAGGCATTATTTGAGAAAGAAATAGATTTCAGATGTGGCACTGTTTTCAAAGAAATGATATAAATAAATAACAATTTAAAAATTAGTTAATTCACACTCTCTATTCAGATGGATCCCGGGATTAAACCTTTTACAAACTTTTTTCATAAAATAGTAGTATATAACATATAAATATATTTTGCAAAGTCAGATTTCAAACAGAAGTAAAATAATAGTATATAACATATATATATATATATATATATATTTATTTATATAATATATATGTATTTCATAAAATAGTAGTATATAACATATAAATATATGGAGGCCAATTTTGAAACTGATATTGAGCGTGAACTACCACTCTAGGAGCTGCATTTTAATGGTCTCCATATCAGGTATGATTAGTTTTAATTTGGATTTCAACTCTGGTTCGGCCAACCACTAAACCTGGTTTGACCATGTAAAATCTAATATCTAACCCTTCAAACAGTGGTATCAAAGCACTAGGTTTAGTTCTTGGGCTAAACCAAATCAGATTTGAAAGAAAGATCAAATGGGCATGAGCTTGTCTAGCCAATTTGACTTAGTGAGCATATTGTCTGAGAATTCAATTCTCAAATTGGGGCCAATGATTTGAAAATTTAATCTTTATATTTTCTGGTATTATCTAGAACTGTTCTGTGGTGAATTCTTGAATTCTTGGCCTGAAAGTGTGATGGAGATTGAATTCTTTATTGGTGGCAAGTTTAATGCACACCATGCGATATTGATCTATTGGTCTATAATTGGTTTTTTTATTTTTAGAAAAGATGTATTAGGGTTTTTCATGATGTAAGCATTAGAAAAATTAGGGTTTTTTCCTTTTGTTTACATTGGAGAGCTTGCTAGAGATCACGGAAAATGATGGAGAAAGAGATTGATGTGGAGAGAGCAAATTGATGGTTTCTTGCATTTTGTCCAGATTAAATTTGGACTATCACACTTTTAGCCCTAGTTGTTT